CGTTTAGTTAATTAAATCTTTTTTACAAACATATTTTGAATGTACAATTCATCTTTTCGTCCATGCTTTCTGTTCGTCAGACATTAATTTACGAAATTGCTAAAACTGGACAAAAAAACTAAGACAAACGATAAGTAAAAAAGTCATATAAGGATGAGTGTAATTTACACAATATTTCATAACAGTTATTCGTGTTTGAGATGTGACGAAACATAAAAATGCGATCCTCACATATTATCATTCTTTGCACCTTATGGTAATTTAGATACCATTTAATTAGTGGTAATACAGTGGTAGTGCAGCATTGGAGGGGTATCAATAATCGTATTGCAATAGAATGAAACACGAGATTGGGCGATTTAGATGGTGAAGTCAGATAATGTTTAAATGAACTCACAAAGACAATTTATAATGAATTTTTAAAACTAATTTAGTGTTCAAAATAACTATTTTGATAAATTTGGGTACAGTGAACTGGTTTGTACCGAGAAAGCAAACAGAATCACCGGGTCTTCATTTCCTACTAATCTTAATTAGGTACCGGTACTTAGATTAAACACAATATGCGGTACTTACATTACACCAAATATGCGGTTCCGTTCTTAGAGGGTGGTAAAAGATTATTTTGGCACCGCATTACATTAGTTATCAGCATGTTTCAATATTTTCAACGTACAGATTAGTTGTGAACCCATGCATTTTGGACACTACAAATTTAAAATTTGATAGAGCGTCAACAGTAAAAGGGGTATCTAGATCCAATGGAAAATATCAGAAGATTATTTCTAATTTTAAATTTAGAAAATCACAAAACACGGTCAAAACCACAAGCAAACTTGATAAGTGATACTAATTGGTTCATACTATCAGAGAAAACAATTCTGCACAGCTAATAAACAATGACTTCAACAACAATACCTGCTGATAATATAACAATGCGTCAAAGAGCTATCAAAACCAATGAGCGCGAATGCGTATGTATACTTTTCCAGCTTAACAGTTGACAACATTAATTTAGAAATGATAATTCTGCGACATATGATAGGATATAGTGTATCCCTAATCACTATTTCGGAAATTTGATGAATCTTAATTTTTTGAATATGCTTATTAGAAATATTGAAAAGAATCTATCTTAATATAAACAGAATCATAAAATTTCTAATATTTAAAACACTGTCGACTTTTATTATTGACTATTCAATTCATATACTAAAGTATTATTATAGAATAGAAAACATTTGTTCCATTTCAGCTAATTTCCTATATAGGGAATAAGCAATTACCGTAGGTCTAATGGTAAGACGTAGACCCGGGACCGATTTACTTTCTCGTTTTGAGGTCCCCAGAGGCCAAAAACACCATCCGTTCGAATTCATATATATTATGTCCGTTAGCGCGATAACACGAACAAAAATGATCCGATTTTGATGAAATTTGGTACAAACGTGTAAACCTACGTTTATTTGAACGGGTTCACGAACCAGCATAATCGGACTATGGGAACGGGGGTTTATGGGGGGTTTTGTAAGGGTAAATATTTATTTTTCCCATTTTTGACGCTAAAAACACAAAACTTCATAATTTCTCTTCAAACCATTTTGTAAAGCTTAAAAAAAGAAATAATTTTGTATATTGAAGCGTTGCTGTATGCCCAACGGTTACGGAGATAATTAAAAAATTGTATATTTAAAATTTCCATGTTATTCTTATGGAGAATAAATAAACTGTTGTAGTTTACTTGTTTATGGATATAGTTTAACCAAATTTGGAAATTTTCTTGATTTCATACTAAGCTATCAACATTGCAATAAAAACACACCTCAATATCTTCCCTGTAGCAGCAAACCTAAGTACTCACTAAAATTAATGTTTATTGAAATAGAAAATAAATCTGGCAATTTTTGGGAAATATTTTAGTAGAAATCCAGCCAGGTAAATGGAAATTCACTTAGTCTGCAGGTTTGCTGCGGCGGGGGAATTTTATGCAATATAAATGTTTGCTGAAGCTAAATAAAAACTCATCTTCCGGTTGCTTTGTTGCAATGAAATTAAAACGCGTGTTGCATTTTGATTAGCATCATCTTGCATCATCTTTGAATGTTATTAAAATAAAATTGAAATATTTCTTCCTTATTCCGTTTATGTTGAATTAAAATGTTTGTTGATTGTTTTTATATTATCAGAATAATATCAATTTCTTGTTGTGTTTAGTCACCCAAAACATCGGTTATTGAGCCTAATGCAAAGTTACTGTATTTTAAATTATTCGTTTAGTTTAATCCATATCAGATTGCTAAACGAAGATCAACTTACAACTACGCTCTACCCATAAAACATTTTACAACCTGTAACTGAAGGCAACATGCTCAATATAACAAACAATTAAATCTGGAAAAGTTATCACGAATAGTACAATTATTTGTCAACTGTGAGTAGTTATAAGCCTTGAATTGATATTTGCTTATTTATATTCAAATGTTTTATTGCCTACGGAAATATTTCAGAGGAAAGAAGCTAACACGGATGAATGTTATAGCACAGAAAACATACTACTATGACCTGCCTGGTTATAGTAGTATGTTTTCTGTGGTTAGGCAAGACAAATAATAATGTTGGTTTCATTACATAATCCTAGATGCAAAAATATTAATTATATAGACAACAAGACAAATAAGACATAGCAAAACACCACAGTAGGGGGGTCAAAAGGACAAACATAAGAAGGAAGTTTTTGTCAAATACAGTATTCCCATATGCTACAGAATTGCCTAAATAAGGAGCTTCGTAGACAAAGAATCGAAATAGTATTCAAAACAAGGTATTTGGAACTCCCTGTCACAAACTTCCAAGGAATAAACTTGAAATGACAGGTGTTCACAAAATTAAATACAGTACAAAGATTGCCCAAGCCAGTATGTGGGGCAAACAGGTCGTGGGTTCGTTAACGAGCACAGACCCAAACCACGATTAATAAAACAAAATGCAGCGTTTGCCCAGCACTTAATCGACCTAAACAAAAATATGAATGATTGCTGACGGTCTAGAGGTGCTACATGTATAAAGGTACTTACTAGGTAGGTAGGTAGAAAAGGTACTTACATAAACACGTTAGAGGAATTTGAAAATTACAAAGTGTACCACAACGCCGCAAGTGGAAATTGCAGTTCCAGTCCTTATTAGCTAAGCAACCAAGAACCTGACCTTTGCCCCACTGATAACGTGGACAACAATAAGGATTGAGTCTGATCTGGTTCTTCAGTGTACTACCTGCGCCGGGATCGTCCGCGTCGCGTGATAGGCCTATCCCGTTTTAAATGTTTGTTTCGTTATTTATTTGTGTGCGTGTGTCAAGAATGTCTATGAATTTGTTACTCTTACGATTCTGTAACGGCGAAACATGAAGGTCAACCGACATCTACAATCAATTTGTATTACATTACGAGGTAAATAAGTGTACTAATTTAATCATTCCAGTCCTGGGCCCCTCGACATGAATTTTAATGATTTAATGCAGTGGGAGAGTATGTTTGATTAGTTTAGCTTTCTTTGGAAAACAATTGCAAGATGTTTTATTATCCTAGCCCGGGTTGGGTGTATTTGGCGTGTTTTGACTGCAACAACGAACACATGCCTTAGACGCTGACCGGCTCCAAACAAACTGCGCTAAAAATGTCATATAAATCAACAAAATACGTTTGTACAATGTTTGGATTAAATGTATCACCACAAACAGGACAAGATAGCATAAATGAAATTAAGATCTGGGGTGTAAAGATTACCTCAACAATAAATTCCGGGAAAGCCCGCAGGGGTAGTTTTGGTAGGGGGTCTTATCGACCTCTATAATCGCTGGTCTACACAATGATCGGTATTTTAAAACAACGTATAAAATACTTAATTAGTTAAATTTGGTTGGGAAAACACCCAGTTACTAAGTAGGCCTATCGAATAATTAAGTTTCATTGGACTAGCAAATTTTACAGAAGACAGGGAAGTATGAAAGGTGGACAGGACTACAGAACCACCCTGTTTAAAGATATGCCAACATTTTTAAAACGATTGAACGATGCCTTGATTAGCCAAAAGTTACATTCACGAGTTTTTTTAATTACCTCAACGAGGGAGTTTTAGAATTCAAACCACTTTTGTTATGAAACACCCTTTTGTTGTGTTTAGAGCTAGAATACTTGTATTGTTATGAATGTAATATTTGGCCTGCTAATAGCAAAACGTGTTGATAAGATCTGATTCTCATTGAAAATTTTCAAATCTGACTAATGACAAGACAAGAATAAACACATTCTGATAACATTGCCATCATAACACTGGTGTTAATTATGAAACAATTTGTAACTCTAAACCTTGTAGGTTTACGCAATACCATCTGTAGGATGACTAAAGAACCGGTTAATGTTCATTTGTGGTACACCCGGCAAAACATACCATCAAAGATCCGCACTATTGTCAGCTGTTTGGGCAATGCTTCGCAGATCTCAAATCAGCCGATTCCGTTTATCTTCTAAGTACGTATCAGTAACTGCTTCGATATGGACTTTTCGTGTACATACTGACAGCGACTAACCTTCATATAGTCACGGTTAGTTGCAAACAGACGGCAACAGCGCCACAACAAACCTAACCTCGCCGTCGAATCAATAACAATCGGACAACGCGACAATTGCATTGCGCTGTTATCTCCCTTACGAACGGTTATCGATTTGTAGGTGGTGATAAAAAAAGTAAGTAATGCGGGGAAGCGATTCCTTTGTGTGTGAGGGGAAGGGAGCGCGCCGCGGACATCAGATCGGACCTCCTCAATCGATATACTGTACTGTACGGCGTATGTCGTATGTCGCGTCACACTGCGTTAGCGTTACAGCGACAGCGTTACTGCGTTATGTTTACACGGCGACACCGGGCGTATCCATGGTGACCCGGGATAAATAGGGTAGTGGGTAATAACGATCGGAGAGTAGGTTATGTGCGCAGTGACTTACCGAGTCGGAGTAATCCTAGACGTTTGGTCTGTGCACTATCCTACACTGTACACTAACACTGACACTACACACTAGAAGCACTGAGACACCTACACTAACCGCGATGGCGAGAGGACGACTGACGAGTGACGACTGTGCGAGTGCGACTGTGGGGAGGCTACATTATAGAACAGTCGAGTCAATAATCATACCACCCCTCCCTCCAGTCCGCGGCCGAGCTCTCTCTCACCTCGCGCTCGCGGCATACACCTCTCTTCTTCTATTCCGGTTGCATTTCTCACTGAAAATAGTCGCCGGTGGTCAGAAGGAGGGGGGGCTGTCACTCACGCACGCACTCGCCCGTCCCGGTTTCTTGGCTCCGGCGCTGCTCCGCTACAATCACAATCCTTGCATTATCGTCGACAGTGCTCACTGCTCAGACCGATTACATGTTAACGATGCGTTAGTTTATCTAGGTAAAAGTTGTTAACGCATCGGAGAATGACTGTCATTGCACAAGTGACCATTGAGACGTTTCTGATTCTGAGCTTATCTCGTAGTCATTGGGCATTAAATGTGGTAAATCTTTTAAGCTGATCAAGGTAATTTTCGTAATTGAATATAACTAAAATGTAATTGACTCACAGGAGTATGTAATTAAACTTTTAAACGCTTTCATCTACTTTTCCTGGTCATCGTCGTTCGATTGTTCTGGTCTATCACAAACCTGTTATAAACTGTAGGTCTTCGTAACACAACATTCTACGCATATAAGTATATTATTATTTGAATAAACCTTTGTAAAAAGGAAGTTAAAACACTTCACACACAAATGTAAGGGATTTGAACAGATGACACGTCAACAATGGGATACAATTGAAAATCGCCTAAAAAGTACGAGTAGAAGTAATTATATCGTGTACAGTGTAAGGAGCGTGCGTTTAATCGATCGAACCGGCGACTCAAATATTTGATAAATAATAAGTGATACATTGCAAGCACTGTCACAGACGAATTTAGAAGTAGAGATATTCAACAATTATGAGCAAATTACACAATTCGTGTTTTTTTGTTTTTACCACGATTTGAATTTTGTTTGTATAAAGTTTGTTTTTGCTAAAATTTATAACTGAATTGCAGTTTTTCTATTAAGTTTCTAGGGAAAATCGATTGAAAAAATGATAGCCAATTTTTATACATGCATACAAACCTACATACCTACAATACACCTATATAACTGATGTACAAACCTATATAATTACTGTAAAATAGATAAAGGATTGCTCATGTGAATAGTGGGATAAGGGTGAAAAACATTTCAATTGGGGGGGACATCCTACAATCCACAAACATGGGGGGGTGAACCATATACTTTAGGGGAGGCACTACTGAAAAAAAAAATATATATATATGCTCTGTCTCTCTCCCCTTCAAAATTTTAATTTTAACTGCTAGAATACATCAAACCATTAAAACACATTCAATATGAAAACCAAGCTAACAGTATATTTCCAATTGGAATCACAACCCTCTCCAAACATGTTTTAGTGTAATAACAATTTCTCAATTGAAGTAGGCCTACAAATAAACTCAAACTTGAGACATTTTGATGACTGTTGTCAGATTATCTGCTAGGCAAAACTGTCTCATAAATAAACAGTAGGCATTTAATTAATTGATTGCATTCTTCTAAATTACAATAAACTTCAGATTTCTCCTTTTTAGTCAGGAAATCCCCCTTTTATAATATGTTCCAATGTTTCACAATGAGAACTTTAAATGGTAATTACGAAAGAAAAATCTCTTCACATAAATGGTGGCAGATTCTTACCTTATCAGATGTATTCGACAGAAACAATCTGAAAAAAAATATTACTCTAAAGTTACAAACACATGACTTAAAATTTCAAAAAAAAACTATATTAATAACTTATACTTCTCTTTCATTGATAACCCATAGACTAATTTGCTATCTGCAAAACTTAAAAAAACCATAAATGAACGATTGAACATTTAGGGGTTTTATAATTAATTAAAATTACAAAAAATATGGAACAAGATTGATTTAGGAGAAAATATCCATTTAAAGGACCACGAAGATGGTAATTCACACCAACAAGGATTGATGAAATGAGCAGACTGTACGTTTCAAACTAACTAGAAAAAAACCTTAAATAAGGTAAAATTGCACACTCTTCAATCCTTTTAGCGAATTTCCCATAACCCATAAACCACCTATTCGAACGAGTTCGCGAAGCAGCATGATCGGACCATGGGAACGCGGGTTTAAGGGGAGTTTTATGGGGTAAAAATTGGGGTTTCCCATTTTTTACCCTAAAAAAATTAAATTTTGCAATTTATTTCCAAACCATTTTGTAGGGCTCAAAAGAACAAACAATTTAGTATATTGAAGCGTTGCCATGCGCCTAATGGTTACGGAGAAAACTCCGAAAATTGTAAATTTATAATTCCTATGTATTTATTACGGAGAATAAGAAAACTTGTTGTAGTTTGCTTGTTTATGAACATATTTTGATCAAATTTGGAAAATGTATTTATTGCATACTAAACTATTTAACATTTTACTAAAACACTTTTTTACCCTCCCTGTCTAAACTCGTGCTATTAAATAGGGAATAAATGTGATATTTTTAATGAGATATATTATATAGTGTAAATCCAATCAGGCAAATGGAAATTCGCTCTAGTCTGCAGGTTTGCTGTGGCGGGGGTATTTTCATAATCTCTCTAAAAGAAACACTTGAAGACTATTTAATAATTTAATATGAAACTTGTGAGCATAAATGCACTTGTAATATTTTAGCAAATTTAAAAGAAAATATTTGTTAACGATAAAAAAATTATATTCCACTAAATTAGTCTATGTTTTAAAATTCGCTAAAAGAACTAATGAAAAACAGTAATTGCTTCTTAACAAGCCATAAAAAACAACACAACCTAACCTCATAGGGATGAGAGGAAGGGGGTGGGTATCAGCTGATAATAATGTGCTGCATCCCCCAAAACACATATAAACTATCCAATTTTATCTAAGGGTTTGAATTTGGAACTTCTTTGACCTTGGGTCAAAATGTGAATCATGCAAGTTGCTAATATTATAAAAAGATCCATACAATTTATGATGTGGAGGAAATTAAAGACAATAGACAAAACTTACTAATAGAATAAATATAATTTGGGGCTTTTTTATGAATTTACTATATGATAATAATCAGTAGTGTTTTGGAAGTTGCTAATATTATAAAAAGATCTATAAAATTTATGATGTGGAGGAAATTAAAGACAATAGATAAAACTTACTAATAGAATAAATATAATTTGGGGCTTCTTTAGGAATTTACTATATGATAATAATCAGTAGTGTTTTGGTTTTTTAAGTAAAAAATTGAGTTAACAAAATCAATTTTTTTATATCGACACAGCTCTATTATTTGGTATTAAGTATTCCAGATGACAAAACACTTTAAACTTCTTTTTGTACCTAATTTTGTTTAAAATTTTAAAGTATCTACTGGATTGGTTATATTCACACATTTTCCACATGATAATTTGTTTAAACTTAAATTGTAATTGTGAACACCAAAACATGTAAATAGCGATGGACCAAAAGAAAACATAACACACAAACCTAAGCCCCTTGGATCGGAGATGGAGTAAGAGTATTTATAGATTGTTAGCACCAACATAAATTCTACACAAGTAGTCGTAAAACACCTTTTAGTATGATTGTGTTTAGTATTACAGAGCAGGTAATTTTCAATGTTTATCCACATTTGCTTATTTACAGACACTGTTTTGAAATGTTACCCTCTGCATAAAGACTTAAAATACACAAGTTTAGTCTGGTCCAATAACAAATGTAATTCTATTAACAAATTAAATTCAGTTTTTTGTCATTAGTGAGTTGGTTATAATTTCTTATTAACTCCTGAGCATTACTATAGCCATATACTAAGCAGCACAAGTAGACTCCCCATCCCATTGTAAATTTTGAAGCTTGTTTTTCGTGTCTAGTTCATGTACCCACACTGATCGCTAGGGTAGACAAAATTTTGTTTCTATTATTTTAGGGTTTTTTTTCATTGTATTGTGCTTTACTATTTAGTTATATACTAGGAGACCAGTTATTGTTTATGATTTTATTGTTTTATTATATTATTTATTTATTATTATATTTAAATGAGATTTTAAATGACAAAAATAACAAGAAACAAATTGTAAACAAAACACAACCTCTACAATTGGACGTACAGAACTAACAATAAAATTGGCTTCAGCTGTTCCATAAGGATGACAAATCTACTAATAAAGTATGTTTTATCTATGCTATAGCCTACCAACATACTGATACTTCAATGTGTGTAGTAGTAACTTGAGGTCGCAAACAATTATTGCTCACGTATTAAACTAGGCCTATAAGCCTGATTGTAACGCATGACACACAAATGGGTGAAATATTATCAAGTGGCAAGGTATAGAAAACTTTCACACTGAATAAGGCTAACTGTTTGTTTTTTTTTTTTGTAGTTTGACTGTCAAAAACTGTAATTACCTAATTAGTGTGATGTTTTGTATTCCCATCAATGTTCCCCACACTGAGATTGACTATGAACAAGCGAAACATAAAGAACTAGGGCAATAGACAAGTGTTTGTGTAAAGATCACCCATTAATTAAGTTACGTCTTCAAGTTACTGAGTATTAAGTTACTTAGTACTCAGTTGCAAATCATTAGTGTTAGCAAGTATTCATAAAGCACAATGTAAAACTCACTGCATGTTAATAGTATTAAAAATGATGCATGTAATTGATTGTAAAAATGGTGATATTGCCGTGAATAAATAAAAAAATAACAAGTTAGGGGGTCTTTTAAAGAATAAGGTCCCAGTATTTTAAGGTACACTGCGGCGTAAGTTAAGCTTATGGCAAATAAAAATAGCCCCGCCACAGCTACTCTTCAGGCTAAGGGGATTTAAATTTTCCTGTTTAGATTTTCACAAAAAATGTCCTTAAAATGTCAAATTTATTCCCTATTTAACAAATGGTTTAACAAGTACTTAGGTTTTTTCCACAAGGAAAATAGTTAAGTGGTGTTTTTTAGAGAAATGTTAGTAGTATAGTGTGAAATAAATAAATATCCCGAATTTGATCAAAATATATCGATAAGCAAGCAACTACGACAGTTGAATTTATTCTCCAAAAGAATAACATGGGAATTATAATTTGAGGTTTTTTTTTATTTTCTACATAACCATTAATTGTACAACAATGTGTCAATGTATTTCTTTTGAGCCACCTACAAAATGGATAAGAAATTAAATACAGAAATTTTAGA